AAGATTGAAAAAACGTGATAAACCATTCGGACGTCATCTTTTTTTTTTTTTTGATGATGGACTCATTCGATTAAGAGCGCGAAGGCCGCCATACTACAGGTGAACGAAATGATTATGGTGTTGTTGCAGGTAGATGTATTTTAGTACCTGCCAAAGATCATTTTTAACATTTTATTTACTTCCAATATGAATTATTCAAAAAAATCCAAAAAATATTCAAGCCATTTATTGTAAAGGTGATTTGAAATATTTGTGTCTGAGCTTGTATATACAGGGTGATTCTTCAATCCGATCACCCGTTTGATTATTTGAAACTCAGTGAGCGGTCAACTGAAAAAATCTCCTTATGTTTTCTTTTTGGATTTTAGCACCTCAAATCGAGGCTTTGGATTTTTTCAAATCGGTTTCTTTTCTTACATGCTGATGTCTTGAAACAGTGATATATATTAACGAGAATTTAATATTTCCCGGATCTTGGACCAGCAAACAGGACCGAAAACCTATTTTTTTTTTTAATTTAAATTATTCAAAGTTTACCACTAATCATGTCACATCTTCAATTGTTACAGTAGTTTGTTTCTTTATGTTGATCGTTTATCAGGCAAAGTCTAGTGCAACTCTGATTTAGACAAAATAATTGTTTGTGAGCTAAATAATTCAATTACAGTCAGAACAAGACAGAATACAAGACAGAATGGTTGAATGATACAAACGTATCTTTTTTCTTTGCCGCTTGTTGCAGAGAGTTGCAACAGTTCTTTCTCTAGTTTAGACGCATCTGAATCTTCAATGTTTTACATTCTAGTTCGATGTAAAAAAGAACCAGTGACTTTGCGAAACAAACCTAAAATACTAGTTTTCCAGGTCCTCAAACCGACGTGGAAAAAACTGTCTGACGTTTCACAGGCACGAGTAACTTGCATCTTCAGAAGTGTTAAGCCGCTTGTGGCACATCAGAATGGTACGACGGATTTTAATGAAACTCACTGTAAATTTTAATGAAACTCAAGACTCGTGTTTGGATGAAGCAACCGAGTTCATGCACTTTGGACAAGTGGAGAATTTGTGAGTGTCTTGGTACAAAAACTACCATAACTTTTTATTTCGAAACTGGAATCTAATAATTTTTTATATTTAGCCTGATTTTTAACTCTTTGCAAAATCTTGTATCATTCAATTTTGTGCAGAAAAATGTCCTCACAATTGATAATTTTAGGCCCGGGCCTCGTAAAACGTTTGTCGGTCATTTCATATTTAGAAAACGCTCGACAATTAATTCCTTATAAGGAACAAATATATATATTCAGTCAGTTGATTCCAGCTATCAAATAAAACGCTCTGGTAGTTTTAACACCAAGACACTCAAGAATGCATCACTTTGCAAATGCAGACAAACTCGGTTGCTTAACCAAACTGTGAGTCTTACACAAGAACAAATTCACAGCCAGTTTTATCAACATCCATGTATCATTCTCCCAATTTTTCAAAAAAACATTATTTTTTTGAGGAACTTTGTCTATAAATAGCGGAGGAGCCGAACAGTTTTTCTTAATTAAAGTTAGCTGAGATCGTTTTTTTTAGCTAGAAAGTGTCGCAGTGTGCTTTTGTTTAAGTCCTTACAGGATTATACCTTACTATAATATCTCTCTCTCTCCGTAGGTTTCTATGTGGTCAACATGGTCAAACTAAACCAAATAAAGCAATGACAAACACAGACGATATAAATTTTCTATTTCAAGCGTCGGACAAAATTGAAAACAAGACATTTTAGATCGAAGTAGAAGTACCGATTTCTAGTCAGATGTAGAATTCCAACATTTTCAAGGTTCATAACAAAGTGAAACGTTCAATTCATCAACCCACACTAAAAAATCGAAATCTAGCGAAAAATTACCTTGCGGCCTAATTTAGGTCCTAAATGCTATTCAAAACACTCCAATTATACGAACGAATTAATGCATTGTACGATTCCCACATAATAGATTTTATATAAAATATTGAAAGTCCATCAGTGGTACACATGCGGGCAAATTTAAGTTAAGAGTTTTTGTTAGTAAATGAAACTGGCTATTAATTACGAAACTATTTACCTACATGTCAAGAGCGCTCCATAAAGTGGTAATATAAAAATTCATATGAAATGATCATATCTGATCAGCGCAATTTGCATGCTTTCTCAAAGTTCGAGACAATCTACTAAAGTGCCTAATGTGAATTTAATAATAAATATCAAGTAAAATATTGTTATAGCTCTTTCTTAATCTTTTTGATCATTGATCAATCAATAAATTGCAAAACTTGCGAAAAAAACGCGATTTTGACGAAAATTCCGGGCGGAAAAGGGTGTCGCTTAATCAATAAAACATATTCTCGGAATCGGTATCTCCAAAATGTTTCAAGACAATTATATCGACTTATCGCTGAGCAAATAATTGTATGGAACCGTTGTTCGATGAACAAATATCAACAAGACAAAATCTGGAATCGAAAAATCGATAATATTGTAAATAGTTGATTTACATCATCGCACACTTTGTGTATTCACTTTGAATTCTAGGATATTCCGCCGGTATTTCATTGTGAGCCAGTCTCGACTTTGATCATTTCCTCGGTATAAACAAGTATTTTACTAATTAAAGCACATTTTTCAAATGTTTTAATGACGCACATTGACACTCTGCGAAGGGGCGCTGTTATTTTGCATAATTATGTGATTTCATTGCTTTAATTGCAGATCAATCAGATAGGTATGTACACACGTGGAAATTCTACTCTATCTTCTATGTAATTATTTTTTGCACTAGTTAGTTAAATTTACTTTGCCTGCTGTCACGAGTTAGTGGTTTAAGAAATTACACGCGCAAAAACTGGTGGCAACATGTTTCAAACTATGGCTTTATCAAAAAGTAATTAAAGGTCGCAGTAAGACTAAATTAACAAAATTGAGCCAATATGAGCGAAGCACCTATTTAACGACCAACACCTAACTTTTGACCGCTTCTGGAATATTTAGACGCAACGTTGTTCGTCAATATGATTTTTAATTTTTATTAGGGAAACACTTGTTTAAAAACGTACCAGAAATCACATCAAGCTTGTCAAAAACGAGATCTGTGCTATTCAGTTTAGCCACATTTAGAGACAAATTTCTTAGTTGATATTTTTGAGAAATTTTCGGTCAAAAGTTAAAACTTTCCGTAAGTGTTTATTCAGTTAAGTGCATTGTTTCCAGCCTAAGATCCTCGACAATTTGCCTATTTCAGTGTTTGGGTTCAAAATAGGGAAAATTTCGTAGTTTAAAAAACTGGACGCTAAAAAGGGCTGAACGAGCCGAAAATGCTGATTACTTCGGTTCTGAAGGCAAAAATGATGCAAAACTTGAAGCATTTTGAGAAAAATATGTTCCACCTTCGTTTTCGTATTTCAAATTTTTCTTGTAAAATTTTTGGTACACAATCAAAATTTATTTCTTGAATAATTTCTTTCGACTCAATAAGCTCCCAAGTTGTTTCAGTCCATAATGAGAAATATATCGTCTTTTAGAGAATATTGAATGTTAAAAATCAATTTAATTGATTGAATTGATAATAATGTAGAATTTTAACTATTTTGGGAGAATTTGTGTCTTTCTTGAAAAATCGACTTACTACGACTACCACTTATAAAAATTTACTTACTTACTTTCAACACAAGAAAAAATTGATCAAAAATCACTTTGACGGGGTTAAAATCTCGATTTTTGGAACTAAATCTTCTACAGAGTTTTTCAATGAGTTTCGTTCGACTTCTAGTCACTTTGGGATGAGAAAGTTCTAGAATTCAAAGCATTTTGTAAAAATTTTGTTTTTTTTTTCGACCTCTAACATCTATGAAATTTTGGGTCAGAAATAAAATTTCCACACGAGTGCTTTTTAAGTCAATGGATTACTTTCGACGCTAGAAGCTTCCCAATATGCATGTTTCAAGTGTTTGAGTTCATGATAAATAAGATATCGTCGTTTAAATATTGTAAATGTTCAAAAATCGCAAAATCGACAGGATTTTTCATTGAGTTTCTTAGATTTCTAGTTGCTTTGGGATGAGAAATATAAAATTCGAGTCATTTTGTGAAAATTATCTATTGAAAAAATCGACCTCTACTCCTTATGAAAGTTTTTTGAGTCCGGATGGATTACGTTCAATACAACGTTCAGTTTAACACAACAAGCTTCCTAATTTGCACATATAAAGTGTTTGAGTCGATAATAAGAAGATATCATCTTAGATGAACTTATAACACCCTTATGAAATTTTCGGTAAAAAATCCCAACGGATTGCTTTCGACGCTGTAAATGTCCCAAAATTCATATGTAAATTGTTTAAGTTCATAGATATAGTCGTTTAAAGCTTCTGAATGCTCAAAATTCGTTTAAAATCAATCAAAAACGTTGATTATTTTAGGAACTGACTATTCTAGGGAGTCCCTTCGATTCCTAGCTGCTTTAGAAGGCGAATGATATAAAATTCGAAGCACTCAATGGATGGTTTACAGTTTAGGACTCTCCTTAATATACATTTATAAAGTGTTTGTCCTGATAATACGGAATATATCGTCGGTCAAAGATAGCAAACGCTCAAAAACTGCTTAAAATGTGCCGAAAAAGGCGATGATTTCGAACTCGCTTCAAGCGCGTTGTTGTAGGTACACCAATAAAAAAATTGAGAAGATGTGTTTTGTTTGAAAAAAAAATTATTTCTTCCCTTTTTGAAATGTTTACTTAAAATGTGACATTCCACGTGCGTAGTTTTGGAGCTCAATCGATTAAAAAACTACCCAAAATTTCAAATATTTCATATGGATGTTAGATGTGCTTAAAAATTAGAGCTGTTTGAAACAAGCATTTTTTTTCAGTACCTATGTAGGTAAGTTGACGTTCTATTAGTTTTAAGTCCAATCGCCAGAAGCTTCGCAATTAAATTTGTAATAATAATTATTTTATTTCTTATAATTTATGGAACGAACAAAGCGACCAATGGGCTTCGCCACTAATCAACATTCCAAAAACCGGACATTAGGATAAGCAAAGCAGTTTCGGTAAAAGGATTATACCAAAGGAGGCAATAATTCTTTACATTAGGTAAGATAAGATGTAAAATGCATATATTGGTATCTGAAATTCTGAGAAAAGGCAAACAAAAGGGCTTTTTAAGGATCCTAAATTTTCCTCAAGTGAGTCACTCTTTGTCTTTGCCAACTGTTCCTCAATTTTACCTTATCAATGACCTCAACCACAATAAGCAATTATTTTTTTGCTGAAAACTATATATTTTTAGTCTTATCCGGTGTTAAAATTACAAAAGATTAGAAAAAATCTCATCTGCAGTTAAAGCTGTTGGGTGGGTTAGAAGCACCATGAAAGAACTGGATTATCGACTTAGGCTTACCCACAACGGATCATTATAGGGCGTGTTCTTATAGAAGTGCAATTTGCCGTGAAAAAAATGAAACTGACATGCTACGGCTGCGCTTTTTTTGAAATCCCTCCATTTGTTTACCGGAGCGTTCTTAAACCGCTTCACTCCTGGTGTTCGATCTTGAATGGATTTAAATATCATTCAAAATCTAGAACATCGGACGAATTGGACATTGTTGTTGTCTAAAATTGTATTTTTTGTTAGGAAATCTTATTAGAACATTTTGGAAGAAGTCGTTTTCAATTAGGTACAACTCGTACAACACAATACAATTATTACTAGCTGTGTGATGTTCTGGTATGGAAATTGGCCAAATGCATAAATAATGTGTGCTCTTCTTATGCAAAACTGTTTTGGTAAGCTGCTTTTTGAGTGCATGTTTTTCTTGAACTTGTTTTATCTATACTTAGTAGAAAATCTTACTTAGTATAAAAACTGACTTTAAAGCAACTCTCCAAATAAACTGAGAGTCGGTTTAGACGAAAAATATGAATTCACAAAAAGGAAAAAAGCAAAACTATTTTTTTATATCTAGATGTGTTTTATCACTCCTCAGATGCATCCAAAGCCATGGATAAAATGTCCGTTAAAGCACAATCCGCTTTCGATCTTTGGCGTTAGAATGGGCGGATTCAGAACTTAAGAAACTTAGCGAAGCCCAACAAGGCCCGGCTTCGTGTTCAGCTAATGTAGCGTAAAATCCACGGCTACCGAAAGGTAAACACGACCAGGCTTGCCTAAGTACTTCTTGCATCTAAGGTCGTTGTTCGTTGTCTCTGTTTTTCACGCCCGTTTGCATCTACCGAGTTGATGCCCTTTTGTCCGGTCCCGTCTTTGTCACTCGACAACAAAGCTATTGTTTCGACTGCTCCTATAAATAACTATTTTTCTTTGAAATTCGCAATTGTGTCTTTCAATTCCCGATGCCAAAAGTACCGTAACAAGACTTTAAAATGTCTTGAGGAGATTTGTAATAGACGTGACCCATAAATCGTTTAACATTTTAACTTTTATACTACAGATTAACTTTTCAATGGGTTGCTTTGAGTTGATTGTGTTTGAACAATCGAGCAAATCGTCTACCGGAATTTGAACAAAATATAGGATGATCCATTTGGAAAATCTAATTGGAGACTACTTGCATCTCAGCAGGAAAATCACTAATGCCATGACACCCTGTATAATTTAGAACAAATTGCTGTAGGTGAATCAAGCAAAGAGCTTTCCTAGACCAGCTCCAAAATTCGGAAATTGCATTGATCGAAATTTCCTTGTAATTCAAAATTTTTGGGGCTTTGTGTGGAACAAGAAATGGATTKGAAGTATTTAAATTGTTTTYCAYATTTCAGAAACCGCTTTAGATAGGTAGGTATAGGAAGCGTTAAAGAGAAATAATCAGATCCGTAGGTCCAATAATATACCTACAGAGTTCCTCATTTGAACATTAATTTAATAAAGTGGTACCGTGAACCTCCCTGTATAAATAAATATTTTGACTGGCGAATTTCATAAGTAGTACATAAAACCTGGTAATGTACCTATGTGTTATTTAACTGATTTTATGGGTGATTACGTCTGGATATTTAAAATGAAAAAATCATAAGTTATAAACATGTGAAATTAGTTCGAATCRAACATTACTGAAACCAGTTAAAAACTATTTTGTTTCAAGCTCCGAAACGAAAATAGTATGTGAAGCAGTGAKGGAAACCTCAGAAGCCTTAGAAGAACTAAWATCGACTGCARCMGGAGTTAAATTGAAAGATRGTTSATTTTCGTGGRAATTCGGTCTGGKCAGAAGAAAAAGACAAACWTTTTTARCTACCTAAARGGTAGYYKAGGTAGCTAAAAAAAGTTTTTTATTTTCTTCGTCAATACTGCCCAGACCGAATTYCCAAGAAAATCRACCATCTTTCTATTATTYGAKATAGGTCAGGAAACTGGAACTCAGCAGCAGTTAAAAGCTATCTAGGTACTACCTGCCACGCCAAGAACTTTGTACCAAAAGACATAGGTACCTACAAAGCGGACAATGGAAAAGGGGAAATATGTAAAGAATCATAGCTTTGGAGCGTTGTATTTTTTTCCGAAGAAACATCGATATCAGTCTAACAACAGCCTATAGAAAACGTCGCATAAATTGTAAACGAGACATGTGAAATGCTGCAAACAATAAAATTCTTCGGACAGCCTAATTCGGACAGCTCAAAAGCAGCCAAAAGTAAGACTTAAAGGCCTGAAACACCAACAGTCTACTTTAGGTCAGAAAACTGAATATTAAAGCCAAAGCTTTGAACAAAATTTGTGTCAAATGTGATTTGTTTCAGATTTTGTCTCTTCTCTTCTAGCACAAATATTTCTAAAATAACTGTAGTTAGTCGCGGTATCATCTATGGATTTTTTTGCATTTTTATACACTTTTTCTCAAGATAACTCGTTATTTTTTGTCGATTTCTGAGACAAAAATTGAACGACTTTGAGTTGCAGACATAGAGGAACAGGTAGAGTAATTCTGGGAGAGATGAACCACCTTTTTTGATTCGACTCTATCTTCACAAAAAATAGCTTTTTTGACGTAAAAAAAAATGTTGTCACAAACATTTTAACTAACTGCAATCGGAACTGTAACTAAAGACTAAAAACTCGGACACATTTGCTGACAAAAAAATTTAAAAAAAATCGTTATGTGGTCCAACTAACCTAAAATCTGCGGGATAGTTGAACCACCAATTTGGGACAGTTGGACCACACAGGGAGAGATGAACCGTAACAAAGGTTAAAGATTTAACGATGCTTAAATGTTAACTGTTCAGCAACAACAAACGTCATATGTCGCATATCATTCCGTGTTGGGGCAAAACCAAATGTTTGCAGCTTTTTTACATGTGCTACTATCGTCGCTTCATTTTCTTCTCCTAAAGTAGACGAAGAACTCAATGAGCCAGTTTTTGAGTTTCTCCCACGGCTTTCTTGTAATTAGAGTAGCTTTGGGAATAAAAAAGTGTCTGACTGCGGCATTGACCCCCATTGTCTTTGTATCTATAGCCTCTACAGCATTTTTGAGGTCTTCTTCGGTCCATCTAGATCTTAGTGAGCTCAACTTCCGTTGGTATTTTGTAGGCATTGTATAAAACAGAAAAATTAAAACCGGTTCAACTATCCCGATTTACTCTGGTCCATCTATCCCAAATTTCAGGTATAGACGGACAACCAAAAAACAAAAAATCTATTTATTAATCGGATTTTACATCATTTACGTTGTCCAGAATGAATACCATGCAATGCATTTTTAACCACAAATCGCATTCTAAAACTTTCTTTTAGTTAGAATCGCACCTTTACCTTTAAAATACCGTTAAAATGTCTACCATGTGTGCAGAAACAAATAAAGCCACTCCCGAAAATTAATTAGAGTAGCGTTGAAATATTCTTCCTATACCATGTACAGTCGAAAATACCCGACTGGTCCATCTCAGACGGTGGTTCATCTCTCCCGGAATTATCCTATTGGAGCTACTCGGAGCATTTTACAACACTGACACTTTCCCAGGCAACAGTGCGCCGGATAATTACCGAAGAAGGGCACCATACATACCACGTATGTGAGATACACAGGACACATTAAATATCTGGTCTATCAAACGCCAGTACCAATTGAACACGAGTTACATACGGTTGGTCGAAACAAATGACTCTTTCTGTTTGAAAAAGTACCTATACCTACCTAAGTATTGTCGCAGCTGTTAGTAGATAAATTAAGAATATTAAGATCTTTAAATTTGCTTGTACAGCTATCTCTTATTTTCTCTCAGTTAAGAATATTTTTGTGAAACTTGGGCATTGACCGGGCAGACTGACCCCATCCATATCCCAAGTGGCATTCAAAGATCGCATTGAAAATCATCCTTTTAGTTTCTAATTTTACATAATTACTCATATACACAGAAATTAATGTTGAACTCACAAATTGACTGCATTTGACTAAATCGTTCCTATTCGTTACAGAGCTGATTAATTCGTTCTACCATGCGCCCAGACACGCATTAGGGCAAACCAGTCAGGACAAAAATGTTGAACAACCCGACCCAACCCTGCAAAAATTTACATCTCAAACAACGTGAAACTCGTCCACACACATACACGAACCAAAATCCCCTAAAAACCAGACTCACTGCGGGGACAGGTGGAGCATTTCCCCGTCTTATCGATCCCCACGACCATTTTGTCCGTGCCCCCGTTCACGCGCACCAATGGATTGCCGAGGCGCGCAGTTGCGAGGGGCGTGTCTTGCACCGGCGCTGCAAAGCAACCACGACCCGCCCCGAAGCGGTGACGAAGCGGCCCGACCGGTTAAGCAGGATCTAAGCTAGGTCGAATCTCCAAACGTCAGTTCGTGTATGTACGGTCGTTTCGGAGGACGGTTCGTGATTGCCGTCAGGCTTTTGACTCAGTTTTTTTTGAGTAACAATTTAACAACGTTCCGAAGGTCTGTGGTCAATTTTGAAAACGTTTCACGTGAGTTCTGGTGCTTCAGAGGTGTGAAATAGTTTGACTGTTCTCCAAACCCCGACACCGTAATCCGATTTCCAGACTTGCCGCAAGCATTGGACTGTGTATGTAAGGCAGAAAATCGTTCGGGGGGCTGGTGCTGAGTCAGGATTGAGTGCCGACAACATTCATGTGCGATTAATACAGTTAGGTATAATCCGAAGGACTGGCTAGTGACGGTTTTTCTCGGTGGTGATCAAACGTGATCCGGTTATGGTGATGTCGGAGCAGGCCGGCGTTATCGCCATGCATCATCAATTGCCGATGCACCATCACCAAAGGGGGTTGGTTCAACCGAGCCTGGTGATGAACCCCATTGGTCTGAACGATGGCTGTTCCATTGACGGTGGACCAAACAGTGAGTAACGGTTTTCATTCTATAGATGTTGATGCGGTTCTGATCATGATCAAAGCGTATGAGAACTTTGGAATTTCCAAACAGTCCCCGCCATACTAATTTGGGGAGATTAGAAAGATCAGATAATTGTAGCCTGGCTACATCCATACAATCTACTAAAAAGCATATAGAATCACAGTAATAATAGAGCGGATCTGTGAAAATGCGTTGCTTTTAGTGATGAGCAAAGCAAGACCAAGACTTGCAAGGTTTTGGTCTCCCTAACCAAAAGATTTTTTCAAGGTAAAAATTACTTAACAAATATTAGAAAAAATGATTGTACCAACTCCTCCCCGATTTAGGTAAGGTAGAAGAGGTGAAGAAATCTGGAACTAATTGAATTTGAAATACCTATGTTAAAACCCTGCTTTACTTGCTTTGGTTAGAACTTGGGGAGCTTGGAAATCGTTGGTACCTATGCTTTTATATCATTTCAACTTTCTCATCATATTTTAAGGGCCGTGTTTGTCTACCCCTAACTACGAGGACAGATTTAATGCGGTCCAATATCGAATTACCTTTTACAAAGACTCTTGCGAAAGTCTTGGTCGTGCTTTTTTTGCAAGACCAATATCAGTCTCGCTCATACTCAAGTGCTTACTGCAAAACTAATTTCAGAACGGGCCAACTCAATAGTTATGCTCTACAAACGCAACTTTTATCACCTCAATGATCGATTAGAATAGGGTTTTAACGCACACCGTCCTAAACGTAAGTTAGGTACTTGACTCGATGATAATCTTCAGTCAGTCATCAAAAATTGTCCGTTTCCTGCAGAAAAAACCATTGATCAATGTCGATTTATACTTAGTAGAGAAACATGGAATGGTTCTTGGAAGAACGCAAACTTCTGAAAAAATCTACTCCTAGCTGAATTCAAATTACCGGTTAACCTATACCGTGGTAGTAGGTTGGGAGTGGTATATTAAGCGCCTTGTATTACATATAAATGCCTCCCTATAATTAATTTTTTTGAAGATTTTATTCAAACAGACAAACTTACGGATGTAATGGAGCTGAAGTTATTTTGTGACTCAGTCGCTTTCAAGTTTTTTACCAATTTACCTTATGAGTATTGGACAATTTTAGAGTCAATTTGGGTTTGATGCAAAAATTAATTGATAGACTTTTCGTAATTAGCCTTAAAATTTCCTTTACCTACTTAGCGTATTTAAAGGACTTATTAAATTCTCTATTCAGGGACACCAAAAAAAAAACCAGTCGACCAGTCGTTTAAAACGACTCGTTTCCGATGTGAATAATAAAGAAATTGTAAATTTGAATTATAAACACTGAAAGATTTATTGATTTATTTGGCAAATGTGTTGCCGTGAAACTGAAAAGAAAGTGCATAACACTCCATTGACACTGTACAAAAATGGTTTACACGTTAGACCAAAGGATTGAAGGAATATTTATTTACGAAGGTGAAGGTTGTGGGGCTCGTAAAACGATCATTAGGCAAATTAGGCACACATTCATCTAAGAACAAGCAAAAACCGAAAAAAAACACGCTAAATATGCAATGAGAAGCCATCAGAGTCAAGAATCTCAGATTAAATTTGTCAAATGGAAATTCTTGTCCATTTCGTTGCAAATCCGAACTTTGGTATAGGTATCTAATACCAATACTAAATGAGTGCACAATTTTAATTTTTTTTTATATAATCCACGTTTATCAAGCATTGGAGAAATGCCACTAGATAATCAAATTTTGTGAACAAAATTAATAAAAAGTAGAGGAAAATTAAAGTTTTATTTTCAACATTTTAAAACACTTGTTTTTCTAATAAACACAACTCGATATTGGGATAATAACAATCAACGTATTTAGGGAAGGTCACACTCAATATTCACACAAAATTATTGTTTGGCTAGACATTCTTGGAAATAAAGTGATTCCATTTTTACAGAAAAATCTTTTACGGGGAAATTTTACATGAACCTTTTTAAAAAATGAATAGATCCACTTGTTGAAGCATTAGAACGTCAATTAGATCAATTCGGAAATCGTCTAAGTGAAGAAATACAAATTCTTGGGTTTTTCTCGAGTTTTGAATGCATTAATGCAGAAACTCTAGACCGAATATGTGAAAATGTGTTGCTTTATCATGAAGCGCCGACTGAAATGTTTATTAAAATAACGCTGTTCCGTCGGATAAGCGAAAAACTAGAATAGAATAATTTATGTATTACACATAAAAAATATGTATAATATTTCCATTGTTATGCCTAATGTTCAGCGATCCGGAGGACTGAATCGATTAGGTAGACAATAATTGTTTAAATATTTAAATACTTTGATATTGACAATATTTTGCAACCGCGCTTAGTTGGACACAAGAAATCTTTAACCCTAGCAAATTGAATTTGGACCATGCCAATTGGAGGAAATACACAGAACTTCTGGTTTTCAAATCCGATTTTATCTAAAATGCGGCTTAATTACTTCCGCACTTCACACAGAAGATCGTCAATATTAACAAAATTAATGACTTGGGTTTGTCTGTAATAGAACTAATATTATTAACTAAAAATTTTGCCTTCATAAATTGTATTTTATCCCTCACAACCTGATCCAAATTTTTGTTTTCACTCAATGAGTTGGCATGATTTGGATTAGGTACAATCATGAAATTGCTGAAAATGACTTGAGACTTTCCAAATAATCAATTAAAATGCACATATTTGAAAATTTTGATTTGATCAACTTGAAACAAACCGTTTTAGACTAACTTATAAACTCGCCATTTTCAGAGGAATTTAACTTTAAGGAATTCTTAGCATCACTCAATTGATCAATTTATGTCTAAATGCCCTGGCCGTTGACGTTAATGGCCGTTACATTTTAAAAGTTCACTTTTTGCCCGCTAGGAGTTGGTAACAGAACCGTAGCGGTATCAGCTGGCTGTAGCCATGTTGCCAAGTGAATGTGAAGTATGTCAACTTTGACATTTAACCGGTATTTCTTTCGGTGCTTGTTGGCCAAGTTTTATCATTGTTATTTCTTACGCTTTTCTATTTTTTAGTAACTTTCTACTATCCTAGTGTGAAATTCGCAACCAAACGCGACACAAATGAGATTAAGCTGTCTAAACGTCAAGCAATTTACGTTTTCCTAATCTTATATCAAATTTATGAGTGAAGACTAGACAATTAATCGGCTCATTATCACTTAAACGTCATTATTGCATTGGAATCATATGAACATGAAAATCGGTTTTATGTAACTTGACTGCGTAAAGATAAAACGCCTACTCGACTGTGGCCAAGTTGACAAATCAAGCAAACGGCAACTTTGCAAATCCGAAACATCAGGAATCCTCCTTTGAAGGAATGATAAATTTTGATTAATGAATCAAATGATCAAAAATATGACTGAACTTGAATATCGATACAGACAATAATGGAAAAGGCAAATTACAGTCTAAATCTTGATCTTTGAAAAAAAGGTCGTACTTAGCAGTAAGATAAATTGTTAAAATATATATAGGTACATGGGTACAGGTATGTGCAAAGAAACTATACAAAATAGAACAAAACAAAACCAAGGTACAATTCCATGCAATTAAGCGAAAGGAAATAATGTACAAGAAGTTGAAAAACATTAGATGTTGACAAGTCACAAACTGGTAAATAACGGTTTAAAACATTTTAATGGATATTACAAGCAATTTTATCGTTTTGCAATCGGCAAATGGAAGCACCACATACTGAAGTTAAAGAATGCCCTTCTTATACCAAAAAAGCAAGAGAAGGCGAGATGATTCCTATATGTAAAGCTGCTTCCACAGCCCTGGGCCATGAACTCATTATTCCATCATTGATTTTTGCCCTACAGTTCCAGCACGCACTAATCTATTAAAGCTCTAATGAGGTAAATATGTTGTTACTTTAGAATGTGACAAATAATGGTGTCTGTTACTGGTGTCGTAGATATCATATCACAGTCAAAGCAAGTGCTTAACGAGAATACAATGTAATACTTACAAAATCTTACTGTAATAGGTACCTACTTGATGGTTTTTTAAGAAAGGTTTATACAGGAAAAATCGCACACGAATAACAACACCACATAATATCGCAATTAATAGACCTCAAGGACTTATTGACCTAAATCGTTTTGTTTGCTTCTTTCGACGATAAAAACTCGTTATGTGCGTTTATCTGTGTAAAATTGTCGATCACTTATCACAGCAGATATGAAGTTATGCATACAAAGTACACATGTTCCACATTGCACAAGTAGGCCTGCAGATTGTTTCCAAAATTGGATTCAAGTTTTATTATTTTAGCAAAAATCCAGGTGCCGAAAAGGTGCACTAGTGCGATGCACATCATTTGCGAACATAGGCGAATTTAGACGAGCGATGTACGGTACTCGGTGCTATTTGTTAAAAGTGGTTAGATTTTTGATGGAAAAAGTGGTTTGCAAGTTGGTCCACTTATGCTTTGCTTGCAATAATTTTTGGTTGTAGAAAATCGTCAAGTTTTTTGCAAATTTTTGTTGCCTGCATTCTTGATGAGAGGATCTTGAACTCTCTACATGTATATTCAAGATAAAATTGTACTCAATAAGATTCCTTTAATAAACCGTGCTGTTCTTGTAGTCGCGATAATAAAAATAAACATAGAAAAGAGTAAATTCTAAAGTCAAAAAAATAGTGGGCACATTTCATTTTGTGTTCGCACTCATCACAATCATTATAAAAATGTCTATTATTTGTAATATCGATAAACGTTTTTTTAATAGAATTATTGATTTGAAAAAAGTCAAAACAAAATTGTTAGATAAATTTATAACAAACGTAATTTTTTGGCGAACATATAAATACCGACCCAAGTATTTTTCTTTTTGCACACCATAAATAGAGTATTTATTATTATAAATAATAATACCGAGCAAGTAAACCGAGCAATCAGCTAGCTACCGCATTAACACCCATAGTTAATGGCCACTA